TTTTTTTTTTTTTTTTTTTTTTTTTTTTTTTTTAGCAAAACATACCTGGAAGCTTCTCCGGTTTGCAACCTGGTTGTGTCCCCACCCTGTTGTGTGCATGTCCTGACCTGGGACAATCCTGTCTGTAAGCAGCGTTTAGGGCTGTAGCTGAAAATGAGAGTTGTCCTGCCAGAGCCATGAGGCTTGTCACCCTCTAAGTCCCTGACAGCTCCTGTGACAGGTGTGTTGAGCAGAGCTGTGGTGTGAGGAAGCTTTGCTAGCATGGGTGGAAAGTAGACAGGTTTTGCGCAAGTTTTGTTCCAGCTCTTCTGCAACTTTGACTCTTCTTGTTTTCTTTTGACACAGTATCTCAAAATATGGGTTATTTTTCATTGATGAAGAATAGATAAGACATTGCCAGAATGCAGAGAGTGCCCTGACATGGATGTATGGTCTTCAGTAAGACCATGGAATGTCATTTTCCTTTTTTGAAACAGAGCATACTGCAAGATTTCTCAGGTCCTCATTTCCTCTGGAGATGTAAAACATCTTAAAGGCTATTACGAGAATATATAAAAAAAATAGCTTTGTTATAAAATTCCCTATATTTGAGAATAATTTCAAGCCTGCAGGTAACCTGCCTTTTGAGATGGCTGGAACACACCCAGAGCTAAAAGCAGGAAGTCTGTTGGGGGAAAGATGCGAAACAGAGGGAGCTTCAGACTAAGGGTCCTGCAGTTCTGCTGTCATGTGCACTGCTGCTGAAACACAGCGTGTCCTCCCTCCTCCCAAAAAATCCTGCACGTACACCACAGTGCGAGAATACAGCCCGAGAGAAGGAGGTGTTTAATTCCTTCAGAAACCATTCTGCGGTTAGACTGTATCAGTTGCTCTGACAAGGCACAGAGGGAAAGCTCTCTGCAGGCAAACGGAAATTTGTACTGTTGTCCTTCAAGTTACATGTCAGCTCTCACCAGAAAGGTTTTAGGGGAAAACAGTGAACTCTACTACTTCCCTACACAAGTTTGTTTTAAGTCTATCATGCATTATAGAATTACAGGATGTTATATGGAATAACCTGGTATGAATTAGCCTTTCTTCAGATTGCTGCATCAGTGAAATAGTGTGCTCTTAAGCTGATGTGTGGTGCAGTGTCAAGATTGATCCTTCATTTAAATACAGTGTAATATTTGGGGTTTCTGGAACCCATTCCTAATTCTGTACTTTGTTTAGTAGTTGCTTCAGAGAAGAAGGAAACATTGCCAGAAAAAGGAGGGGAGGGATCTCTCCTTAACAGAATTTAAAGGAGCAGCCAAATTCTGATGGCTGTGTCTGGGCAGTGGTACCATGAAGAATCCTGGATGGTTGTGCGTAGTGATAGAGGCCTGGAAATGTTCTCTGGTCCACTGTAAACATCGACACCCAGAAAATGTAACATTTTTGTGTGGTTTTCAGATGTGTGACCTGAAATTCGAAATGCAAGGAAGTACTTGCTGAGGCTAGACAGAAAAGTCCCTGAGTGCTTCAGAAAATCAGTGCCCATTAAAAATCCTGCCAATTGTGTTAATTAAAGCACAACATTTTTGTGCTTTGATACCTGGTGAAGTGCTTTTATTTGTTATTAAAAATTACTTTTTGTGAAAGGAAGGAGAAAACCTCTAGATGGGAGTCAGACAAACTTTTTGATAGACAGTTCACTTCTGCACTCTTAAGATTTTACAGAAGCATAGATTTCCAAAGCAGAGTTCAAAGACAGCCTACTCACAGTTGTCTGTATTTTCACTGCTGAGGTTACTGAGGGCTATGGAAATGCAAGGCTTTATCGAAGATTACACTGGGCAGCAGTTGTAAAAATCCAGCTGGACCATGTGTGTACCAAAGGCTTGCAAGCCCACATCAGCAAAACCCAGCGCTCCGGCTCCTGGTCATGGGTTGAGACATATGGCATAATTGCAACATTATTCTCAAAGGAATAGAATCAAAATGAAGCAGTTTTAATTCCATTAAAATCCTGGCCAGTAGAGTAAAATGTTAAGTGAAGCACTCTTTCTGTTTGGTTGCATTACTATTAATGTATTCCATAAGGATTCAAAGCATAACTTTTGGACGATATTCGCATAAACATGCTCCCTCCTCTAACCTAAATAAGAAATTTAAGATTTATTCCACTTTTGGAAAAATTCCAGCTCCAAAAATTTTTATTTAATGCAGATTTCTGTTTCCCCCACCATGGATTAAGGACTTAGGGTAGGAATAGCCACCAAATGGTTTTATAGGTGTATATAAATGAAGAAAGTTTAATATAGTTGAAATTCTGTAGGGGTAACTGTGAAGGACAGAAAAGTTAAATATTTCTTAAGCATTTTTTTGCCATGTACACTTATTTTTAAACTCAGATTTAAATGATTCAGAAAAGGGTTGCAAAGCTAAATTTACTTTAGTGTCCTGAAGATCTGTAAGCTTGCATGAAACCTACTTCTGTTTTATTTAAAATTGGAGCTTTCAGTCAGTACTTGGAAAGTCTGGCTTCTACTCCCATTGGCTTCCCTGGGATTTGGATCGAGCCCAAAGTACTGCAGGAAGGTAATGGAAATGATCTAGGTTTAATTGTCCATTCTTTTCAGAGTCTTGTGTTATGGGGTTAGGATAACATGGCACTGTGATCAATGTTCATCTGTCAAGAGTTCAAAATCTGCTGTCTGTGCATGGCAGTAATTAAATCACCTTAATTGTTTTTTCATGATTCTTTCTGAGAGAGGGAAAATTACTTGCCTTGGATTAGCATATTGCCAAAGACTGTTATAAATATTTATGGGGTGTACTCTTTCAATAGAAAGCCTGTACATTCTTCACAGGTCTCCACAGTTCTTTTTCTTGAACACAGAAGAGTAGTTACTTCAACTCACTAATTACCATCATTTCCCCCTCTTGCAAAGCTTCAGTAGATACTGGTTTAACAGTGAAAAAGGTAAGTAGTTTAGAAAGAAGAATCTCTTACAAAACATATTTAATGACTTCTGTAAGCTGTAGAATCTTTTTGAAGGTGCATATGTTTGTGAAACAGGTTTGAGAGTTCCAAATTTTTTCCATTTACAGAAAATATACAGTTTTGGAAGAATTACTGGCTTCTCTCTTTGTTTTTCTTCCTGCTTTCAAATTAAGGTCTCATGCACTATTCTTATATTCTAGACTAGTAAAAAAAGAAAAAGTAGGCACGTAAATGCTCAGTTAAAGAGCTACACAGCTTAGTTCTTTTTTTTATAAAGGTCATCAAGCAACATATTCCCAAGAGTATGAAATAATTATGCCTGTGTTAAGAATGGTGGAACAAAGCGAACAGTATAGTCCTGACTTGAATAATGCCAGGATTTCACTGTAGATCATTATGGAAAACTCAGGAAAACAGTCAGTGCACAGCTCTTTCATGGCTCTGTTTACGCGTACGTATGGTCTGTGCTGGGTATTGGGAGAGGTGCATTTATGTTGCATTACAGGAAGTAAAGTTGAGGGGCTGGTGCTTCTCCATAAAGTTATTCTGTCTGCTGGTGTTAGAAGGTAAAAGTTTTGCTTTTAATGCCTGGAAACTTGGAAGTTTGTTTTTTTTTTTTTTGATAGAAATACCTTCTGAGAAAAGTGAGTAGAAAGTTATACTCCTTCTT